CATAGAATATTACTTTTTGTTTGTATTCTAACTTAAATAAAATCTGCAATAATGATACCAATAATATAAAATAATTAACAATGATGATGACATTAATATCAATAATAATAAAACAAATAGAGATTTGGTATTGGAATAGTATCACAGGCTGATATCAGAATTTCAGGTATTGGATCGAAAGTGATAAAATGTGGATTGGTGCACCCCTACTCCAAAGCTGAACAATCTATTTGCGGCCTATTGAGATCAAGATTTTCGTCTTTGGCTCACCTTTGATCTCGCCGAGTTCTTTTGTCTGAGAACAGTTAAGAAAATTATACTGGAAGTTAGAAATAGTTTTAAATGAATTTATTCCACACTAGATATTGGAACAAGATAATCACAAACAACGTATAAGAGCTCTCAGAGAAAAGAAAAAGGTAGGAAAGTCCTAGACCAACATCACCTGGAGACAGTGAGAGTCCTTCTCCCCAGCCTGTCTGGGAGACTCAGAACTGAGTTTTAAGTATAAAGACCAGAGTCCTGGTCCCTTTTCGGTGCTTCCTTCCTTATTTGGAAATCATTAACTGTTGAGACACATTCTCAAGTTTATTTTTAACAATGATGTCACACTGTTGGGTCTCTGTAGAATCAGATGTAAACAACTTTTTGAGTGACAACAGCTTCTGGCTTTATCAGGTCTTAATTTAATTRTCAGAGCAACAATAGAAACAGTGTTTCCTTACTAATTAATAAGCAAGCGTGATCAAACGATAAAAGTTAACTAAATACCTTGTTTGAACATTGCAAGTAAACTATAGATAAACTTCTACATATAAAAGGGTAAAAGAAAAAAATTCACTCATTATTGGACAGGCCACACGGTTATTTGATGTTCATTTAGCACACACCTTTCATAGCTCCTGAGACACTGCGCTGAGCTTCTGGGAAACCCCTCCCGCTGCGGGATATGTCCCTGCATGGGTTTCTTCCTGCTGGAGTCTACACTCCAGTCCTCAAAGTTATTTATCCACAAATCTGTCCCTGTAAAGTTTCACGATTTTCTGCTGACATATTACTCTGTGCATATTACTCTCAATCTATGAGATTTTGTCTATTTGACTGTCTTTAAAAATGCCTGCTTCCAGGAAATGGATTCTAGAAGAGAGTAGTTTTTTGTAATTTTTGGAAGCAAGTAGTTGAAGCAAAAYGCAGCGTCCGAGTACTTTTACTATAAAAAAAACACGCACAAACTTCTGATCAATCACACAGTAAGCTCTCACAWAGAGGGAGGTGAAAAGTTATCYCAGCAGGTTGTGACAAGAAGGTGTGGAAGAGTTGAAGCTGTGAACAGAATTACACAATTTTTGTCATGAAACTRGGACAATGAGAGCCGATTTCAGCAGTTCAGAGGAAATATATGTCAAGACTGAAGAAATTTAGAATTTCT